GGTAAGGTTAATTGCTTGAAACTATTAAATATTGTTAAAAATGTTGGCTTTACCTGGTGAGTATAGTTGTAATAATATAATGTGAAAATAAAACAATATAATTATAATTAAAAAATTATATTATAATACTGTGATATTGGCAGATATTGAGCATAAATTTTTAAAATATTTTTATTTTAAATTTGGTATCTTAATTTTAAATGTAATAGTTTATTAATTAATTACAATTCTAACTATGGAAAACTATTTATATGACATTGGTTTATGTTTTATATCAAATCAAGATATACAGAGTAACCGCAAGTTCGTACATAAGCCTATTGTGCATTTTATTTTAAACTCTATTAACGTGATAAAATCCGCTATAATATTGGCGTTTATTAATAACAAAAACGAAAATTTACTAATTATACTAGGTGATTTTCCATACATACTTGGTGTGCAATTTCAAATAGATATGGCTATTATTATATCAGGTGTATTAGGTATTGGATTTCAATCTATATATTATTACAACTATACTCACCAGGTAAAGCCAACATTTTTAACAATATTTAATAGTTTCAAGCAATTAACCTTACCGATTGATAATAAGCCAGATGAAATAAAACTGTATAAGTTGACAAAACGATCTATTTGGCTGTTTAACATGTTAAAATTTAACAATACCCGATTTATCCCAATTATTTACTTTACCATGCCTATTTTACCATATATAATTAAGTATGATATATTTACCACATTATTCTATGGATTACCAAATGCAATAATATTTGGCATGTTTGTTTATAATACATGGAATACATTAACAATTCAAATACTATATTTTTATATCATATGCAAATATTTTGTGCTAAAATTCAAAACTATTAACAAGTTGATATCGCGACGTAAAGTACACACAACTTATACAATAAATAATTATTTACATACATTGAATAAAATAAATTGCGAAATTAATGAATATAACGCCACCTACTGGTCAAAGTTCATTATTGTTTTATGGTTTTGCCTTGGTTCTATTGACGTACTTATATTACATGCTGTACTTTTTGAAACAATGTCAATTATTCAACGAGCATTGTTTGCATATACAGTGGTCAGTACGACAGCCGTGTTTTTGTTTATTATATTTACCACTTCGGCGGTCACTCACGAGGCAAATAAATCTTACCATGTTTTGAATAAACTAATGCATACTGGGGTACAAATGTAAATAATGTTAGCTAGTAACATTAGTTTAACCTAGTAATTGTTGTCGAGAATATTGTTTTTGTAAATAACATAGTTTAGTAATTTATTTAATTATGGTAAACTAAACAAATAAGTATGTAATTTTGTTTTTGATAAATTATTGTGTTCAACTCTGCACAATTGATTTATCAATATTGTATCTTAATAGTTGTTAAATGTTTATTATTTGTTAAATTTAATTATAAAAAATAAATATAAAATTTTTCATATAAAACTTTTACATTAACATTTTACTTTTACCTTAAAACTTGTTTATTTGTTATTTACATTTGTCTAATGTTAGTCTAAATCGTTATGGCAATGGTTATGGAATAACTTATAACATTTATTTACAACTGTAGATAGTAAGTAATAAATATTTCAAGGTGATTATAAATAACTTATCAATCCAATGCCATTTTCCAGCAGTGAATTATGCACTAACCTTATTTAATAAATTAAATAAAAATGCTCAGTTGATTATAGTTATCATAATGTTATCTTTATAGCCATATATTTTTATATAAATTGATATAATAATACTGGTAATATAACTAGTATATTTAATTAATTACTACTTTTAAATAGTCTTGATCAAATATAAAATGTCAATTGACCTGTACTCGTTCAATAAGAGCAACTATTGCCGTGCGGTACTCATGACCTCCAAACAGCTGGACATTGATCTGAACGTGATTGAAATTAACCCTGGTCCCGAGATATGGAGCGCACAATTTCTCAAGGTAATATTATATTTTGTTTATTATGATGTGTATAAACAAAATTCAATCAAGTTACATTGTAATAGACTTTGTAATGTTATAAATTCTTTGTAATTTTACATTAATAAATTGTTAAACTTTACAATAGTCTTGTACCTAATAATTAATAATTAAAACTTTTGTTGATATTTAAAATAAGGTAAACCCAAACCACAATCTGCCGACTTTGGACGACAAGGGGTTTGTTTTAGTGGAAAGCCGAGCAATAATGCAATACCTGTGCAATCAGTACCGGCCGGACAGCACTCTATACCCGCGCGAGCCTAAGGCCCGGGCGCTCGTCGACCGGTGGCTTAACTTTGATTTTACACTAATGGAGTCATCCAAACAGGGAGTGGTTAGTAAATAAAACAACGTGATCCTACAGTTACAACTTGATCAATTTGAATTAATTAATTTGTTTATTCAACTAATACTATAGTTATGGAAACTGTTGACGGGTGCGGACCCACCGGCCGAGAAAGTGTTGGCCTTTAAACACAATCTAAAACTGTTTGACCAGTTGTTGGGCGACAATCATTACGCCACCGGCGCAGAGCACTTGACTATCGCCGACCTGACACTACTGGCCTCTCTGTCTATACTGTTGGCCATACACTACGATCTGAGCGACTGTCCAAACGTCGAGCGCTATCTAAACACCCTGTCCAAAGAGTTGCCATATTTTGCCTCAATTAACCTAGATCCATTTACTCCCGAAAGCACAGCCGAGTGGGCGGCCAGTAGTCAGAAGTATATCAAACGGAAAATGCAATAAATATTTGATGTTTTGTTTGTCAATGAAATAAATAATTGATTCACAATTTGAGAGAAATATATTTTTCATGTTTTTACTTATTTTATGTTTGAAATCCAGTATTGGGAAAACATAATAACTTTTTATTATCCAGGTCAATATATAGCTGTCCTATTATTATTGGGCACAGTGGAATCAAAGTCTTATTTTATTTCCTAGAATAACCATCATAAAATTGCAGGTTTCCATATAACAGGATAATAAAACTACCAACTTTTGAATGTTAGCCTATTGGATTAAAAATAAATCTAAATTTAATAAAATTAATGATATTTGTAAATATAAAATTAAATGTTAACATTCTGTTAGTAAAAACAATTTTAAACAATTTTAAACAATGAAAAGAATTTTGTGAAATTTAATTCTAAATCCAAAATATTGTAAATTAAAATAACAAGTTTTCAGATTTTTATGACTGAACAATGTTGTATTGTATTGCAATAAACACCATGATTGCAGTATTGATTCTCTCTCTCTACTTCATACTTTACTGTACATATTATACTGATTTAAAAATGTACTAAAACTTTTGTTCATTAAATAAGACAATTTTACAAATTAAAAACTATATTATTTAAAAATTATTTATTTTATTTAAAATATGACAAATTATATTTATTATAGATTATTTTGTAACTAGTTAATTTCTAATCACCTTACAAACAACTGGACCTAGATTAGTTAATATCACACTTTCTTAAACGGTTATCACATAAAACTACAGCTATAGCACTACGTTCATCAAACAAAAACAACTAGTTGTAATATTTATAAAATGTAGTGTGAATATGATTTAATAATTAAAAATTTAATATTTAATAATATAAATAATCTTAATAATTAATTACAATGAGTGCTGGCCTTCAAAAACAATCTGAAACTGTTTGACCAGTTGTTGGGCGACAATCATTACGCCACCGGCGCTGAGCACTTGACTATTGCTGACCTGACACTACTCGCCTCAACTGCCGTATTGTTGGCCATTCACTACGATTTGAGCGACTGTCCAAATATCGAGGGTTACCTAACCACGTTGTCTAATAAGTTGCTATATTATGCCATGATCAATTTGAAACAATATTCACCCAAAGCTACGGCAAAGTGGGTGGACGATAGTCAAAAATATATTCGTCGCAAAATGGAATAGATCTGGGTGTTATTATTAAAATCTCTCTCTCTCTCAAAACTTTATTATCTTTACGTTTTCTAAAAACTGGTTTAGACTGAAATGCAAAACACGTGTTGTAAAGGAAACAGAGTTTAGTGTTCATTGTTTGCCTTTTTGATGTGAATTCAGTCAAATATTTTTGTTGTAAAAATGTTTTCAATCAATAAATTAAAGTATGATTTAAATGCAATAAAGAGTTTGTGTAAAATAATAGACAAAATTCAGTGTATTTTGAATACAAATAATAGTGTTTTGTGCGAAAACTTTATTA